CACCATGACACCGTGCCCGAGCACCGTGACATCATGCACCGTGCTTGTGCACCGCGCACCGTAAAATCTTGCGCTATAGTGTCACGGTGCACAACACGCCGGCGTAGTGACACCTTGCCTAAGGGCTGCAGGCCTTAGAAATTGAAAAAAAAAAATAGAAAAACTTTTTTACAGCGCTGTCCTTGTCTATTCTAAAGCAGAGCACTTGCTCAGCTTAAGCGTACTGACATCAGGCTGTGTGTACTTATATGACCTTTGACTTACACATGCTAAGCGTTTTACTTCTTTAGCGCTGATTTGATATGCCCCATCAGAACAGCACCAAACACGGAGTACAAGAAAACGTTTGGCATTGATATTCACTTAAAAGCATCTGCGCATAAATTAACAGTTTTACACGTGTAACTGTGCTTTTGTATCGGGTTCGAAACGATACATGGTGCTCTCACTATAGACGTCGACCGCTCTTTGTCGACAAAGGTGCGTCTGCGGTTGTGACGTCACAATATAGCAACTACAGTGATAGCATTGTGCCTTCATACGGCTAAAGGATCGGGTTCATTCGCAGAGAAACCGAGACTCGATTCGTCGTGCAAAGTTCATCATGTTCCGATATCGAGGAATTTCGACAAAACACCAGCGGTGTGGCACCTATTGCGTCGGCAGATATGGGCGAAAAGGCCGGGAGGTTTCGTTCGATTCACGTTAATACAGATTCATGACGGGTCTTACATCGAAAACTACGGTTGTATGCATTTTCCTTTTTTTTTCTTTTTTCTTTTTGAGCCCAGCGCGCTTAACGAGGTATTCCTGTATACGAACTAACAGAGAGCTTAAGCGAACAGTGTGCGGTGACTGTGCGCTTAGAGCTGCGTAATGCTGACTTGATGTACATGGGCGGCTTCTCTTTACTCTGATCCCTCTGGAAAGCATAACGAGAAAAAGCTCGCGCGAAATCGCAAGTAAGCACACGCTTGACATAGTGCGCGGCTCATCACCATGAAAAGCAAAAGCATCGCTAAGAATTTTACGTGAATTTCAATGTTGTTGTGATCTTTTCACGCGCTCTCTTTTCATTTGCATACTTGGCCGCAGTAGAGCAGCCAAGGATAGCACAACGGGCATGTGACCCCCCTCTCCCGAAAAAAGAGGGAGGGGGATCAATAGAATAAGGAAGAATAAGTGTTTAATAATTTAAAACGAGCAGTTTGGTTGTCCGAGACTACAGGCCTCCCAAGTAAAAAAAAAAATCTTGACCTCCTCACCTCCAAAGAAAAAAATTGCTGCCGTTGAATACTGGGCACACAACGACGCTCGAACACACTAGCCTATCCCCCTCCTTTCACGTGAAAAACGTGCCTCCTCCCCCCCCCCCCTCTTTCCGAAAACAAAATTCTGCTCACCTTCCCTGCTTGGCTTCCGGGAAATGATAATGTAGTACGTCAGGTCACGGCGGATGAGAAAAGAGCTGTGCAGATCCCTGCCTGTGGTCCATATTTGAACATCTTCAGCGTATCAACAAGGCGACAAAAGAAGAGAAACAAAATGCAGCTTGTTCTCTGTCTGCCGCAAGAGAAACTTCAAGCATAACATTAAAAATTAAAATGAAAGCAAGCACCGAAGTGAAGGACGGATAAAAAAAAACAGTTCGGACCGGAACTCCGAAAACAAAAGCCCGTATTCACAAAGAATATCTTAGACTATAACTAGTCGATATTGAAAACTTGAGCCTATAGTGACGCTGAATATATAAATAACAAAGCTGATTCATCAATTACTACAAAACAACCATCACAAAGTAACGAGTTATCTGAAATCGCTCTCAGATGCATAAAGCATGTTTGACATGCAAGCTACTTCACCCCAAGAGCGGAGGGGCAGCCATCGCACGACCCCAAAAACTGGTTTCTAGAGCACCTAGTAGAAGTAGCAATTCAAAATTTCCGCAGCCCTCTCTCTACGACTTCTGTCATAATCGTATACCGTGGTTGAAGGAGTTAAAATCGCCAATATTAATACTATCGTGAGCACCACGTTACCTCCGCACCCCTTTGTCTGAATCACCATCCTTACTGGCCACCATTCGGGGCTGCGCAGACGCTGCCAGCTTCAGATAGACTACACACTGTAAGCCGAAATTCGGCAAAGTTGGACTAACTGCAGTCGTTAAACCAATGGACGAACGGTTCGTCCAACAGGGACTAAATGTGTGACAATGCGTGTCTTGCGCAAACGCCCGGCAATGAAGGGACCAACGGGGAGGGCAACTGCGCCGCGATCGCCTCCTGTCGATGCTGCACTGCAATGCTCGGCGTGGTCGGCGATCATGAAAACAAGTTAAATAGGCTATACGCCACTGTGAAAGTGAAGCACTATGAAACGAATAGAAGATGTTATGAGAGGAAAGTAGTACAACACGCTGTCAGTGCACACAGCAAGTGCCCTCGCGTTTCCACCATGCCGGCACGGGCGAGCCGAAGCCAAGTGAAAGTCTCCGCAAACACGGGCAATGCCGAGAACTCGCTTTAATGTGCTGAATAAGTTCGAACTACGGTGAACACTGACATGCTAATAAAGGTAAGCTGTGCATCAGCGGTCGTGTACCCACACAGTGACCACAAGTTCAAAGCGATATATAGGAAAAGTAGGCTTCGTACGTCATCGGTATGAAGCGGGCTGCCGGTGTGAGTGCATTGCCGGCACAAGCGAAGGAAGCGTCGCGTACAAGTTCACAAAAATAGTAGCTCAGGCAAACTTATGTCTTTTTATCCATGCGACAATCGTTATCAAAAATCCAACGTGTAGGCGATCGCGGATACGACTAATCGTGCGGCCAGCGGTACACAGGTTGTGCCTTACCAGCACGATGAAAGAACCGTGCCTGCGAACGGTCTCGTCGCTGTAAGTATACGGATATCTACATCACTCCGTAAGACACAGCGAACATGGGGCACTTACCTATTGTTCATTTGTGACTATAAAATAACGACGACGAAAATTTCACGCGAGCCGCATGTTGCGATCGCCGGCGGTCGTTCAGCCGTACTCGTCGTAAGCCTAGCGACGCCGTCGGCAAGCCGACACGGTATGGCATCGGCGGGGCGCCTGCGGCTGCTTCGCCGGCTTTGCCGCACAAGCGCCGCTGTTATGTTGTGTTTGCGGACTCGTGCGCCAGCACTGCGAACGCTGGTTCGGCCGACATGATCGAATACCAGCTGATAATTCGTATTCTCGGGCTGGAGGCATGTTGAAGATTAGATGGATCCATATTAAAAGATCGATGCGCATCGGTGCTACGAATAAGCCCATGTAAATTTTCGCGTTACGGTGTCAATATTTATTGTTTCTTAAGCCGAGTAAAAGTCGCCCACTGGCACTAGATGGGAGGCCAAAATACTGTGCTATATATACCCGAGAGTCTGTTCTCTGTAGTACAGCGCGGGCAGTCAGTGTTTGCAGTGTTTTACTTTGAAATAATAGTGCGCATGTATGTGTGTGTGTGTGTGTGTGTGTGTGTGTGTTGCATGAATAACATACTATGATCTTCAGTGCTGATTAAATTGGAATAAACATAAAATATACTGCACAAACGCAGTGTCGCCATTTTTTTTTGCCATTGGTCCAGACGGTTCAACTGTTAGTCCCGCTGGAGCATTCTACTGGGGTCAACATTTAAACCAAGCGGAGTAAGTGCTTGGGGTAACAGTCGAGCCCTTGCAGTTACTCCCGCAGTTAGTCCAAAATTGGTTCAAAATCTGTGGCAGCGCATTTAAACCCCTAAAGGACCAATGGCATACCCCACTTTAGTCTTTTTCGGCTTAGAGTGCACGAACGTATTGCTGTCGCGCTACAATTGCGAACTCACAAACACACCACTTCCCTTCGCATATACGCTGCACTTACCCTCATCAAGACGAATGCATTAGATGCCTCATCAAATGTTCAAACTTGCCGTCGGCATCGACTGTCGTTCCGTGGTGTCGGCGTCAAGAAGAGGGATGCGAAAATTTTTTAGCACGCGATGACGCCCCCATGTGAAATCATTGTGACATCTCTATGACGTCATTATGACTTCACTTTTGTGACATTATCATGACGTCACAGCGACATCACACCATGTCGTTGTCAGATAACATCGTGACATATCCAAAGATGGGTCGAACACAGAGGCCATGCAGAAGCACGGTAGGCGCAGAACGTTTTCGGAGATTGATTGATTGATTGATATGTGGGGTTTAACGTCCCAAAACCACTATATGATTATGAGAGACGCCGTAGTGGAGGGCTCCGGAAATTTCGACCACCTGGGGTTCTTTAACGTGCACCCAAATCTGAGCACACGGGCCTACAACATTTCCGCCTCCATCGGAAATGCAGCCGCCGCAGCCGGGATTTGAGCCCGCGACCTGCGGGTCAGCAGCCGAGTACCTTAGCCACTAGACCACCGCGGCGGGGCCGTTTTTGGAGACGGCAAAGAGGGAGTTAATACATTGAAAGAGATGAGAATGAAGATTGATTTCACTTTCAATAGACTCGAGCGAATGCGCTACGAAACAGCATGATTATTATTTTCCGCGGCAAAGAGAATCCTGAAAATTTTCGCCAGACGAATAGATTCGTGAACACCTTCCGGGAGCACTACAAATGTGGGCTGCCTGGATTTCATTTCTTCGGACATTTCATTATCTATAGCATAGCAATGACACAAAGCACGCGTGTTTTTTTTTTCGTAACAGAACGTCTTTTACTACAACCTTCCGGACTGAGCCTGGCTATGCGGAAACTTCGGTCATCATCGTCACTCAGGTAACGCGAAATTCCACGTTCTGTCATCTCTGGCAGGCAAGTGAACTTCGCGTAAGGCTTCGCTGTACATCGAAAACGTAGGAGATAAGTCTCCTTTCGTTATAGCGGCGGCTAGGTCTCTGAGCCGCGCACGTCGACGTGGAAGAAAGCGGCACACTTGCAGACTTTCATTATCGCCGACGATAAAAGGTCGCTTCGTCAACGGCTACAAAACACAGCAGGAGCAGTCGTTCACCGGGATCGCACGCACTACAACAGAACACCTTTCGCGCTCGAACCGAGCGAACTAGGATGAGGGACGCGTGGCTCTTGCTTCCCGCTTTCTGCGCGACTTCGATTATGCTGTCGGTCGCCGGCGAACGGGTCAAGTCCAGCGTGGACTCGAAGACCAAAGCCGAGACCGCTTCAGGAGTCGCCGGAGCACCGGAAAACCAACTCGATGCTTGGGAAATGGCGAAGATGATAGTGTCCCAACAGGAGGCCTACATGAAGGTGAAGGTGCCTTCGGAAAAAGGGAGCGGTGGTCCCAAGAAGGAAGAGAGCGCTAAGAAGGCAGGAACGACCGCAGCAAGTGAGAAAACTGACGCTGCCCCGAAGAAGGCCACGTCGTTACCTTCCGAAGCTAACGCTACCGAGGACGAGATCGAAGAGGCGACTCCATACGAAGATGACCCACGTCACCGGGAGCGACAGCACATGGAAGACGTGAGTACACGGTCTGAGCCAGAAGTGTGCTTGGCGTTCTCTGACTTAAGGCTTAAATTTAAGAGGATGCAGTGAGCTATTGATAAGAAAAAGGATAATAATTTGTTTGAAGTGCACATTATGCCACTCTAACTTTTTTATCAATTGAACGTTATCGTTTCTGGCTGTTACGGTTACCTTATACTGCGAGCTTTCCCTTTTTCCTTCATTTTTTTTATTATAACGTCCTTTCTATTCTGTACGCCCTCCCTGTGCAGAGCTGAAAAGCCCCACATTATAAAATAAATAAATAAAAAATTGAATATTTCATTAATAAAAAAACAACGGAGCTTTACGTCCCAAAACCACAATATGAATATGGGGAACGCCGTAGTGAAGGGCTCCGCAAATTTCCCCCATTGGGCGTTCATTAACGTGACCTCGCACAGTACACAAGCCTTTGCCATTTCGACTCCACCGAAATGCGACCACCGCGACCCAGATCGAACATTGGTCCTTGGCGTCAGCAGCCAGTTCCCGTAACCACGGATCCAACGCGGCTAACAGCTGTATTTATGGCTGTACCATTTAATAGGAGGAGGGGAACGTTCTATACTACGCAGCGAATGCGGGGAAGCAACTCAACCGCATGTCGAGAAGAACAAACACATGCACAGGAAGAACAATGGCACAAATGAGACAGTTCACACGTCAGCAAGGTACTTGCTCGTGCTAAGTAAAAATAATCAGTGGTGTGGAGCGAACGCTGTTGAGCAAAGGTTTACAATGCATTTTCATGCGTCAAAATAAATTGCATTTGATCATGCGCTAACAAAAAAAATATTTTACATTTAAGGCATGGCAGCTTCAAGTAAAATTTAGGTTAGTAAACGTGACGAGGTCACCATCAGAAAGAACACAGTTCTGTTAATAATTCCGTGTGAAAGCTCAGACCTTTCATGAGATAAAGCGAAGGAACTGACTGGTTATATGTTCAGTCACTGTGCACTTGGTTAAGCCAGATTTATGACACTAAGTGAATATGTGATTATGTTGCGCAAGCCACAACGTTCGTGAATGATAATGTAATGTACACACCGATATTTTTAATTTAGCGAAGCTGCATCACAGAACTTCACGGCGTGCCATCTTAATTGAGGTAAATTCTCAATTGCTGCTGACCCGCAGGTCGCGGGATAGAGTCCCGGCTGCGGCAGCTGCATTTCCGATGGAGGCGGAAATGCTGCAGGCTCGTGTGCTCAGATTTGGGGGCACGTTAAAGAGCCCCAGGCGATCGAAATTTCCGGAGCCTCCCACTACGGCGTATCTCATAATCGTATCGTGGTTTTGGGACGTTATACCCTACATATCAATCAAGACTCAATTGTACCGAAAAGCGGCCTGTCAACGAACCTAAAGCAAGCAAAAAAAAAATTGGCGACTGCATCTTCCCACGGAGGGAAATTTGAGTAAAGCGTCGCAGCGTGGTTGGGGTGTCACGTGAATCTTGCGTAATTCGGTATGGCTTGGGAATGCCTAATTGTTACTTCATCTTTAATATTCTTATTTGTTTATTGAAAGAGACGCGTTGCCTGCAACGAGTGGTGGGACGCTCATGTTGGGTTGGGCCCTACTACGCATTTTAGGATCGTGTCAGTGTGGAATTCAGGACACGTAGATAAGTGTCTAAGGAAAGAAAGAGTGTAAATCATTAGTTGTAAAAAGCTGCTTAATGTTAGTGGCAGTAAGTAGCCTATATCGTTTCGCACCCTGCTAAACTCGAGCGATTAATATTAGTGTACCCTTGTTAGTCTTTACGACACATTTTCTGAGACCCATAAATTTCGAGCTTTTCGCGACATTTTCTAAATGTTCTTCAAACCAGAAGTGAGTGCTCTTACAGAAGTACTTGAAAGGTAAAAAAAGCGTCACTAAAAAACACTCTACGACATGCGGACCTCCTCATGACGACAGCGGTATGTGTACATCATGCCGGGATAATATGCGGCTGTCACAACTATATCTTCTCAGTTAAAGGTCTCATCATTAGTCAGTGTTCTCGTCTTCTTCCATCCATACCATTTTTTCGTTCTTCAAATATCCGCCGGTATTTTTTCTTTAGACACCTTTCTCAGACTCCTTCCCCTAAGAAATGCCGAACCTTTAAAGAACTGACGTTTGTTCCCAGCAATTGGCGACCTTTCCGATAATCATATGGCGCATATTTTTCCGCGACAATCGACTGTGTCCACTCGTAATGAATGACAGAGAATTATTTATATTGCACTTTAAATACACGTGTACCTACCAGGCGTGCCACGTCTTCTGTATTCGTTGGGATTATATCGTTAATTGGAAACAGGGTTTAAAACCAGCTTTGCGCGCGTGTTCATTCCTATGCCCGTAGGCTTGCATGGGTAGACGGAGGAAGGGGGGGGTGCATGGCGGAAGCAGTATAAAGGGGTTGCCGATTATCGGTTATGTTACGCACCTTTACGCAGCTATACGTTTGACGTCATTTTTGAGTGCACAAGGTTGTGACTAACTAATCTTTTTGGCGATATTGAGGACCGGAGACCCCTGATTATGCACTCAAACTGTTCACGCGACACATTTACCCTTGATGGGGACTGTTGCACGCAAAAAACACTGACGCAAGAAAAAAAACACATAGACGCCCGAAGTGTAAAATAACAACGTAGAATGTGCGAAACTAACACGCGTACAACATGAAAACAAAGCAGGCGGGTGGCTGACCTGGCCCTTGGTTGTGAAAAATGCGATTGCAAATGTGAATTTTGAAGCTGCACAGTAATTGCAGATACCAGACGTGAAACAACACGCATTATCATTGAGGTTCCCAAAATATTATGTCTCTGAAAAATCCATCAGCACGCCGTCTATTTTGTTATCAGCCGAAAAACTGCATATATCACTGGTACCACGCGCGCGCGCGCGCGTGTGTGTGCGCGTGTGTGTGTGCGTGTGTGCGTGTGTGAGTGTGTGTGTGTGTGTGTGCGTGTGTGAGTGCGTGCGTGCGTGCGCGTGTGTGTGTGTGCGTGTGTGCGCGTGTGTGTGTGTGCGTGTGTGTGTGTGTGTGTGTGTGCGTGTGTGTGTGCGTGTGTGTGAGTGTGTGTGTGTGTGTGTGCGTGTGTGAGTGCGTGCGTGTGTGCGTGTGTGTGTGCGTGTACGCACGCGTGTGTGTGTGTGTGTGTGAGTGCGTGTGTGCGTGCGTGTGTGAGTGCGTGTGTGTGTGTGTGTGTGTGCGCGTGTGCGCGCGCGTGTGCGTGTGTGCGTGTGTGCGTGTGTGTGTGCGTGTGTGTGTGTGAGTGTGTGTGTGTGTGTGTGCGTGTGTGTGTGTGTGTGTGTGTGTGTGTGTGTTATTGGTGTTATTGCTTTGCTTCGCAATATTCCGTGAGTGTCAGTGGTTGGTACAAACAAGGTCACATCTCTCGCTAATAAACTATCGTTAGTTCGCGCTTCGTCTATCTATCTGTATTCCTTCTTCTGTTCTTGTTTGATGTTCGCAACAGTTTCTATCAAGATGAGTCACCGACAGAGCCAAGTTGAAACGAAGCAATTTTTTTAGCCTCCTTGGATAAAACCCACCTTTAGACCGGAAAACCTTTGTGAGAAGCACGAAGTCACTTTATTTTTATTTCTCAATCACAGCAATTTGTTGTTTCTTTTTAGACTCCACGAATAGAGGGAAGCGGGCTCTGCCATTAAGCTTGAATCTCCGCCTTCAATAGAAAACTCCTAGCACACCTATGCCCATGACTATTTGTGCTTACACACATGCTTCTTTACGTTGAGGCTTCCAAGCACGCATGCGTGTATGCGTCCGCCGATGAGTGCACGCACCTTTGTGTGCGTATGAGAGATGAATAGGTGAAGGAAAGGCTTGACGTCAACCACGATAAATCTCCAATTGGCTACCTTGTACTTGCCAAGAGAAAGAGGGAGTGAAAGAATAAAATATGAAAAGGGTGCGTAGCTACACTACAAAAACAAGAAAACAGCACTGTCTTAAAGCAATAAACAACGAAATAAATGCACTGAGGCAACGTTTCCTTCATTACAGTTTCCCCAAGAAACCACAACTATGCCGTCGCGGCGACTCGCGTTGAAGTCTGGGTAGTCCAGTCGCATAGAATTTTGTTTCCTCTATGAGGGCGGTTATCAAGTCCATCTAGTGTGGCTAGGAAGGTCACTCTTAGTGCGTGTCAAAGCAGGTGCTATTGGAGATAAGGTGGTGTCCGCCACACTGGAGTAGTGCTTATAGTGCTCAGCTGCTGACTCGAAGGTCGCTGGTACGATCCCGGCCACATAATTTAGATGGATGCAAAATTTTATAGGCCGGCGTACTGAGCGGTGTCAGTCGTGCCCGTTAAGAAACACCAGATGGTCAGAATTTTCGCAGCCTTCCACTTTGGCATCTCTCCTAGTTATATCGTGGTTTGGGGACGTAACACTTTACATATCGTTGCAGAGAAGGTGTGCGATTAAATCGCGGCATTGGCAGAGCTCGCAAAATGTCTTATCAGCCATTCAAATAGTGTATGAACGCGCGTACGAAAAGCACGAAGAAGATTTAGAAGAAATTTAGACGCGGAAGTACTCTGAACTACTTTAACGCCTCAAGTCTGAAAACTGTGAAGGCTTAGTTGCGTAAAAGTGCAAGACACCATGGGACGATGCGAGTCAAGAGAGAAGGGGAATGTTGACTGTGATGTCACCTGCGGCATGAACGACGAACTCTGCATCACAATGACGCTCAAACTGCGGCACCCTTTAGATAAGAATCTAAGTACTTCTGCAAGAAAAAAAAAAAGACGAGAAAAAAAAACCAAGTTCTCAAAAAGTAGAGCGAGCGAAGCTAAATAGGAAAAGTTCTCCAATAACCATGCTGATTTGCAAGCAACACCTGAACACCTTTATCGTTTTTAGATCAATCCCTTTCTCTATATCTTTCTATTTTTTTCAAATAACGACACAGCTAACAAACAGGGCTTTGAAGC